TATCTTGAGAAGTTTTCAGTGTCTTTTTGGTGTCGCTTTTCATATCAAAAACCATAAACAGAATCCAGGCTGAACGAGAAGAGAAGGCGAATACTCTGAAACGTCCGTAGACCACAACTTCTATCCCAGTGGTAAGATAACAGCGTCATTCGATTTATATCCACCGAAGATTTCGCTCGAGGTCTCGTTCGAAGTGTTTTTCTGATGAACTTCTCACTTGGTTTCACCATGACCTTAATGATGGAAAAGAAGTTTCATCCTCTAAACCATCCAAGGTCTCGGTCTCAAGCTTGGTTCAAGAACCGGTACTCGAGCGCCTTTAGACCGTTCACGAAACAAGTAGGAGTTGTGTAGGAGATAGTTATGGGCAAAGCGTTTTATGGAAAGTTGATAAAACGGCTATTGGGAAAGTAATGGAGTTTGACTGTTTGAGGTTAAATAGGCATCATACTTTTTATAGTGATACTTACTATAAAATTGGAATTTAAGGAGATGGTTTACGTTAACCTTCCTTAGAACTTGTGTTTTTTTTAATATCATAAACAAAATAATTTCATTATATTTACTAGTAGTTGTTGCTTTACCTGTATATAAAATTCGTTTTTCTCTCTTATAATACTTTGAGCAAGGTTATGAACTCATGATGACTGATTCCAACACCAAAGCGTTTCATGTATGTATCTAATGAAAATAATTTTGGGGTTGATAAATTTTAGATGGTAGGACTTTAAATCTCGGAATGAATCCCTACTCTATGAAGAATAACCAAAAAAATGAAGCAGCTAAGAGAAAAAGAAACCAAAAGCTCACCGCTACGACCTAACTTCTAAAACATGAGAGGACTCATCACATCTTCTCATCAGATGAGAATATATTTAAATCCACAGCCGATGCAAATCTGCAGCTTCCATTGCTCATGGCTCAACATGTTAGGCGGAATCCACATTCCGTCATCTTCGGGATGCATTTGCTCTCTCACTTTCTGTATTTTCTTTACCACTGTTCCAATCCTTAGTGTGCTATACTGGTTGAGTTTAGCCAGACTGCATGAGAATTCGAGTATACTCGGAGTCATAGGTGCAATACGGTTTACAGTCACATACACGCCCTCCGATCCCTTGAAAGCCTGAACTACAATCAAATCACCCTCTTCCTCTTCCTTAAAACGACCGTCTTCCTCTTACCAAGGTTCATGCAAAAGATTATAGGACGGTCAAACACAAACTGGACACCCTCTTCCCAAGTGTGTGCAGCAGAAGCATGGCTTTTGAGATCCGCGTAAGAGCCAACGTAGTTGCAGTTTGGTACAGGGCAAGAACAGCGGGCGAAAGAACAAACCTTCTCATGGCTAGATTGATTACAATACGTGGTGGTTTCGTTACACCCGTATTTTTCATTTGGACATGGGACTATAGATGCTTCAACAACCTTCTCCATGGCTCTGCATCGTATATCCCCGATGTGAGCTCTACAGAACGAGCATGTCTTGTTCAATTTTTTGCAGCATGACGAACAAGCTTGATGCCCGTTTATACACTGAACACGTAATAAAACACCATAGTATTAGCCAACATCATTGACCCCAAAACAATTTGTAGCCCAATCAACACTATTATGGGTTCATAAAACTTATAACCACAAAATTAAAGATGAGGTTGTGACCTAAATCATCAACCTAATAAGCTATGAATCCACAAACCAGTAATCAAAAACTCAGTGACCTAAAGCAGTTTGTAGCCAAATCAAACTTATGAACACTAATTAGAGATGAGTCTGTGATCCTTCTTATTCTGCAATTCCATCAACCTAATGAGCTATGAATCCATAGATTGATTATAGCAATACCAAAATTACGAATCAAAGAAGTGAAACCTGATAGATTGGTCTCTTGAGTGGCTTGCGACAAGTAGGACAATCGAGAACTCCTGTACTCTGAAGCTTCGCCGATTGGGACGATTTCGGACTTCCCAATTGTTCTTCCATTGTCAGATCCTCGTAATCAATACCCATAGTCGCCATTCTCGTTCCAGTAACAACTTCTTCTTCCCGTAATTATTCTTCTTCGTCGTCTGTGATACTTGCGGGATCGAAATCCTCGTCATTTTCTTCATCTTCATCTAGAGAAATAAATCGTTGCCTCTTCCGAGAACGATCGTCGCCGGATATTTTTCCGTCGTTTACTCCAGCTATCGCCATCTCAAAATTGCCTCCGATAATCCGATGGCTACTCTTGTCCCGTTTTTCTCTGGCTAGTGTGAGTATGTGTGACTGCTGATACTTTCAAGTGTCAAACTCCAGCACTTTTAAAATCTTTACAAAAATACCATTTTTTCAAAATTATTTTTTCTTTATATTATTTATGTTTGGATTAACTATATTCTATTAGGATTTAGTTTTGAGTAGGTCTGGGCACAAGCCGAGTACTTGCTAATTTTCAAGTACTTGTGACTTGGCTTGGCTTGTTCAAATAATTGAAATTCTGGCTTGATACTTGACTCGTTCGAAGCAAGTACTTGCTAAATCAAGTACTCGCCCAAAATCTTACTACTTGCAAGTAGCTTGACTCGGCTTGTTACTTGCCAAAATTATATATTTGGCTCGGCTTGGCTTGTTACTTGCTACTTGAAAGTACTTATAAATATAACATTTAAAATTCTTACAAAACATTCAAAGTTCAAACATCCTAAAATCAAAGATAAGCATTTAAAAAAAGAAGTTTTGGTTCAATGCTCCACATCATAATAGTCTTCTTCTTGATTCCTTTTTTGGCCTATAAAACCATTAAACCCACATGATCATAACCAGGCC